TTTTTTTTTGTTTGTTTGTTTATTTGTTTGTTTGTTTTTCCTCCTTCTTCTCCGCATGCACTGTCACTATATAACTCAGGACTTAAGCACCTGCCCCCTCCCCCTTGCTTGTTTCCTTACTTTCCCCTTGACACACTTTGGTGTATCACGGCCCTCTCTGGCTCATATTAGGAAGTTTTTCCAATAAAGGCTGTTAGGCTAGTCTCCAGGGAGGGTGGGTGACGGTCACAACCACGCATTATGGGTATAAAATACTTGACTGCAAGATTAACAGTGCATCAGTCTTCACAAGAAGCTTACACCCTTTTGTGGCACTAAGCTATGAAGACCAATGCAGACAAGTAGAAAAAAAAAAAAAAAAAAGAGGGAACTTTAGATATCGGTCCCTAGATTATGTTCACTGAGTTTCATGCAGGTCGGTCAAACTTGCTAGGAAGAGATTGATTTAAAGTGTTTTTCAGAAAATTCAAAATGGTGGAAAATCTATATAACCAGAAGTTATGGGTTCTTGAGACAAATTTGTTCCTCATGAGGAGAGGCATCTCTGTGCAAAGCTTCATGTCTCTACAACATACGGGGCATGAGATATGCCCATTCAAAGTTTGCAATTTCAATCGGTTGCTATAGCGCCCTCCTTTGGCCAATTGATGTAATATTGCTTCATTCACATACTCCCATGACCCTCTACCACTGTGCCAAATTTCACATGGATTGACCAAGTCAGTGAGGAGAAAAACGTGGAACAGACACACAGACACACCCACAGTTTTCGTCAATATATAGTAAGATAAGTTAATAAGTTAATAGAGGGTAAATATGATTTTGTTCTCTCTACTTTGGAGTTGTTTAAATGCACCTGTCACACGTAACTTTTGCTGCTGAGTAATTAGTAAAGTAACGTAACTAATTTCTGATGAGTCATTTGAGTAACTGATCACAGTTTTCAAGCCCAACTTGCCCAACACTGCTTGCAGCACTGCAGTGTGATTTTGTTTTTTGGATAAAAGGGGAAAAAAACTGTACAAGCTTTAAAGGACTAATTAGTGAGTAGAGAGCAGTGGTGAGAAAAGCCTAGGGCGCCACCACCCACCAAACAACAACAACAACAACAACACAAACTAAATTAGGTTAAAAAAAAAAAGAAATGAAAAGAAAAAAAAGCATAAAAAACTAAGCGATGTCTTTGAACAGTAAGTAGTTTTTCTGAAAAACAATGATGTCCTCATATGGGGACGAGAGGTTTATTTTTAGTAGTCACAAGAGTGTATAAAGTCTAAAACTGGTTATTTCAGTGCCTGAGCATTATTGTGCAATAACATAATTGCAAACAATTGTTGTTCAATGTTTTGTTACTCCATAGGTTAGGGGCTCAAGAGGCTTAGAAATTAAGTCTATACGTAACGGTCTATTTCCACCACATGCGTGCTGGTTGTGTCTCCGCTCCGGCACGGCAGCGGAGCCGATAGCTTTCAATTCTAGTCAATGTGTGTGTTTCCACCGGCTGCGGCTGTGCTGCGTTCTGGCTCCGTCTTAGCTCTGGCACTCCGGAGCCCTCCGCAACAGATACGCAGGACTTCTATTTTTGCCAGACGCCGGAGCACAACGCAGCAATTCAGCACAGAGCAGATCGTGCGGTGCAGGAAGTCTTGCAAAGAAACAAAATAAAACATCCAGTTAATTTTCAAAATAAAATACACAGTGTTCACACAGATCATATTTCCCTGCACTACACCTTGAAAACTACATAATGGGCAGAGGCAGGCCTGAAGTCAACAGGTCAGAGGGTTTCAGACGTATTTCACCCCGTTAACACCATGGACGAGGAGAAATCAATCATGGCGGTGCACTGAGATGTCTTCCGGCGGAGCTGCACCGCTCCACACAGCAAACGCAGCCGGTGGGTATTGATGGACGGCGGAGCACGCAGTGGATAACCAGCACTGCCGTTCCGCAACGGACACGCATCCAGTGGAAATCCGGCGTAAGTGCCAAAAACTGCAGTTTTTCAAACAGCCACATGAGGCTGGCTCCAAAACAGAGTCAACTGAATGTTTACAGCCTGATATAAAAAACAGTTTTGGTCTCTAAAGCTAATTTCAACATTCATGACAACTTTACAGAGATGAATTTGTTTTAAACTCACCTATTACCCAAAGTACAAGGCTGGTGCATATTCAAGGGCGGAGCTGCTTGAATGACAGCTGTCTGTGATACATCGCAGCAGTCTGTGAGTCAGATGCACTCCTCGCTGGCTCGCTCTTGTCTTAATATTGTCATTTCTAGCTTCAAAAAACCAAGATGGTGACAGCTGAAATGCCGAATTTGAGGCTTCCAAACGGCAGTCCACAAATCAGTGGATGATGTTACGGTGGCTACGTGCATTACTGTAAACAGTCTATGGTTAGGGGGTCACTGTTCCAAGTCTGTTCAAAACTGTTCATTTCAATGTTTGAACATGGCGGCACAAAAGCAAAATTGCAAAACTGCAAAAATGCAACATATTTAAAAGCCTATTGATATGTTTTTTTCATTAGTCTGTAGGATTATTCCTTGCTCCATAATCCAAGCTAGGGATGTTCTTTTTATCTGTCACACCTAATTGGCCTGTGTGAAATACTGTGATAATGCAATTACAAACTTACAATGTCCTCAAACAAGTTCTTCTTAATTAACAGCATCTTAGCTAATTACATTTGTCAAAGTGGGTCAAATGTGTAAACTTTAAACATAAAAAACTTAAAATGAATAAATAATAAATAATCAGCTGCAGAGTGACTTGGAAGAGGTGGCTACCATCTTGTTTTTACATGGATGTGTTGTGCTTTTGCTTTTCCATGACCCCCCCACCCCCCGGGATCATTTTTCAACCTTTTTTCCCTTTATCCTCCTCCTCATATGTGGATGTTACATTCGGGGTTTACTGCACCTTATACATCACTCTGCTTAACTTCAACATGTCGCTGCTTGCACGTGCGGGGGGCGACTAGGTCTGGCACTGGTTGTGAGTGACTTACTGGACATGTGTCTCTGACTTGGAGAGGATGGTCAGGATGAAGGAGGCTGTCTCATTTGGACTGAAGGTGGACGGCACAATCAGGTACTCGCCAGGCTTGAGCAAAAGGAACTCCATCACTTCACGTGCATTCATGTAGGTTTTCGTTTGGGCTACAGGGTTATTTTTGCTGAAGAAAGAGGCGTCGAACTTCCCCCTCTGTGCCTTGTACTGTTATACAGGTAACAAAAAGATGTCATTTATCATATCTATGCAGTTTGCATCATAGCTGCAGAATGTAGGTTAGCATGTACTTTGTATGAGGATTGAGCCAAAAATGTTACTTACTTCTTCAGTCACCTTAGAAGAAATCAGAGGAAAATTAGTTTTAGTTTTGTTAAAGAAAACAAAAAAACAACAACAACAACAATAAAAACAGTTTGACTCAAATCATAAAAGTTACTGATCAATTTACCAAAATTCTTGTTAAAAACACACATTTTAAGGTCCATGTGAAAAGGTGAGAGAATACACTGCATTTTAAGTTTCTTCAGTGACTTATGTTGTTTTATTTGTTAAGGGAGATAAGCCATATAACTGTAAATGCTAACTTTGTGATTCAGCAGTGACATCGTTCAAAACAATGACACAAAATGGCTTAGCCTATTGAATGGCTTCATTTTTGCTTTCATTTCATGTAACTATCTTCAACAGCTACTTCCCATGCCTATACACATGATATATCCATAATAGTTCTCTTACTGTGACACCAATAATAAAGTATAACATTTACCTCAAACACAGTTAATCCAATGTGGAGACTTTTGACCAGGCGCCTGTTTCTCTTGTCAGGCTTTTGCATGAGAGACACCAGCATGTTTTTCTCTCCATGTCCCTCAGAACATTCTTCAAGCAATTCCTCAATCCTGACCCGATACTGTGGATTAGTCCAAAAACTGTCTGGAAGGCAAAGAGATAAATAGTTTTGTATTTTATCATTTGGCCACAAGAAGAGTGAATCTGTTGATTATCTTAAAAAGGTTATGTCCAATTCTTTAATTTTTGTGTTATTGGTCAACTGAAAAATGAAGCACAACGTTCTTAATTACTACAGTATGTGGGACTGGATGGAACCTTAAAGGGACAGTTTAGGTACAGTGTTCATCTGCTCATAAGCCCCTTTTACACTGCCAGATTTACCGCAAATGTTGGGCCGTTTTACCGGCCAGCTGTGAGCGTTTAGACACACAGAGGCGGAATGGTGAGTTGATCCGAGGTGCCCAATTTTCCGTTTCATAGGGTAGTCATATTGGCGGAACCTTTTTGGTTTAAACAGACCGAGGTGCCCTTCCGCTGTTGATGTCGTATGGGAGGAGCTGTTGATGAGACTGCACGTCCGACCCATTTGCAGTGGATAAACAGGAAACAGCTGTTAGCAGGATTTAGCGAGCAGCTAGTAGCAAGAGGGAAACGCAAACCTGACAGACACTGTAAAGATGAGAAACTGAGGAGACAAGGAATGGCGCGCCCTCCTTGTCCTCGCAAACGAAGAGGCGGAAGAACGGGCCAATTTACGAGAGAATTGCCCCCTGACTATTGCTGCCTGACTAGCTGCGGCTTCCATCCCACATCACTGTTTACATCACACGCTGAGCTACACGTTTTGATTTTGTTTTTATACTGCCAATGCTGAAAAAAGACTGACTGGGCTTTCCTGCAAATTTGCACAATTCCTATCTAAAAAGGGCTATAGACAAGAGGCTCGGGATCGTGACAGCACTAGGTTTAAACATTAATGGCATCCTCCTTAGCAAAGCTGTAACATTTGCAAGTTCAGTAGTGCTAGGTGAGCTAGCAGCAGATGCATGCTTCCTTCTGTGCGATGATACAGTTGGCATTTGTAGTTTAGTAGTAGTTAATAGTTCCTACATTAAACTGCTCACAACAAGGTCTGTGAATTATCTTGGGTAACCAGGTCATGATTTCTGAAAAGAAACATTGCTGTTAAGTAACCGTGTACTTTTATTATATTGGAGAGAAGGCAAACATCTCTATGGCCGATATCTTTGGGCTTCAGGATCTTGCCCAGGTGTACTTTGACATGCGAACTGGAGGGGCTGGGGATCAAACCGGGATCAAACCGCCAATCTTCCAATCTTCCGGCGCTGAACTAGAACTGGTGTTTTCCAATGGTAATGATGGTATTCTAATTCTCTTTCCTAGTGGAACACACCACCTGTTACACCTCAGATGGGATAATGTGAGCTTACCTCTGCTATCTCTGACAGCCATCTCGACGGCATAGCAATTAGCTTGTCTTGATATATTAACACAACGGAGCCTGGGCTAGCTTATGGTAAATATCTGCTCCTTTAAAAAAAAGATTTATTAATTCTTAGGAGTCATAAACAGACACTAACACATTCAACACTTAACATATTCATTTTAGCTCCACGTAAAATGAATAAATGTGATGTTTCCCAGCTAACGCTCTACATACACAATCACTACATTTTTTTCATTGGCACACTCCAGGCACCATACATTGCCTTTGAGGGGACCGTTTAGCATAAGATCAGATATATCATAAGATCAGATCAGTACCGAGGTTGTTCATGCATCCTCCAGCAGTCCTTCCTGCAACCCATCTGCCCTCGTAGAAAGAGGTCTTCCAGTGGCAAGAAGAGCTTCCATCAATGAAGTCAGGACACAGGCAGCAGATGTCAAGATCGGAGAAGGTCTTAGTGAAGGTTTCCAGGGTCATCCTGTTGACATCAGAGATTCATTCAAGTAACACATTATTGTTTTAGTCTAAGATTTACTTGATCCTTCAAAGCCACAGTGTGTAGGAATTTCTCCCATCTAACGTTGAAATCATATATTGTATTCAAACAGATGGCGCACTCTAGCGCCTCACTGTTTCAAACACGTATTGCAACAACTGTAGCCGCTGTGTACCAAAAAGCTATGATAACACTGATGAAACCATGTCATCCGATACTACATGGAGTATTCATTCAGGCTCCTACACAGACACACGCGACGCGAGTTGACAAACCCCCTCCTCACCATGCTGGCTGTGTTTACAACGTAGGACTGTTGGGGCGGATGTAAATTGAAACAAACCAATCACGTCTTGTCCTTTGACAACTGACAAGTGGCTCAACCTCACACACCTCATCCCTCTCCTCGCATTACTGCGCCGCTAACAGCTGTTAGTGGCCAGCGGCACTACTGCCGCATAACAAAGTCCCACTCTTTGAGCATAATGCAGGATCATGTATTATGCAGCATCACGGGAGACGGAATCCTCGTCGCCAAGAAAGTGCAAAAGGGAATCAAAAAGGCAGCGTGACCGGCGAATTAAAAAAACAAGGGTCAGCATTGGGGTTGCCTTTCCCAGGTGGAGAGAGCTGCTGAAGGAGAAAGGTAATACAATCACAGGCCAGCGCTAACAGCAGCTAACAGCGGCTAACAGCTAACAGCGGCGCAGTGATGCGAGGAGAGGGATGAGGCTGTTAGCGACTGGCCGCTAACAGCGGCTAACAGCCAACAGCGGCGCTGGCCTGTGATTGCATTACCATTCTCCCTCAGCAGCTCTCTCTACCTGGGAAAGGCTACCCCGATGTGGGCCTTCGTTTTTTTAATTCGCCGGTCACGCTGCCTTTTCTATTCCCTTTTGCGCTTTCTTGGCGACAAGGATTCTGTCTCCCATGATGCTGCATATGCATGATCCTGCATTATGCTCAAAGAGTGGGACTTTGTTTCAAATTTGCCAGGGTAGTAGCGAAGCGCCTCTTGCTCCTCTCCTTCGGCTCCTCAGTCACGCAGTGCTGGCCTGGCTCTCAACGAAAACGCCGAAGGCGGTGCTGTATGTCCCTTGCTGGCAGGTGTATTCTCAAGATGGCGAAACGTAATGGAACCCCACAGACGACTTACCCGCAGAATGTACAAACAAATCCGAAATTCTCCTTTTATGAGAATAAGTCAGATTATTGGTGGAGGTAATAGTACACCAGTGATGACATATTTATGAATGCAGACATCAATTTTTGCCAATAGACAACTGAAAATGTCACACAATGTCCCTTTCAAAGAAGAAAAAGTTATTCTGTATCAGTCAGTTGAGGTAAAATGTGCAAATGCAATCTGCATAATTGTTTTGTAGATGTACTGAAATTATTATCAAAGTAGAATTTTAATAGCCACTTAAAGCCCCTACAAGGAACTTTCATTTTGAGTTGATTTTGGTGACCCTGTGGACAAAAGCAGTAGTGTTTTGCCAGAATGAAGCCATTTCCTATGAGCTCTAGCACATATTGTCGTAAAGACGCTTACCTGGCTCGCGCATGTGTTTGTTTTGGAGCCACACACAGAGGCCGCAGGTTGCGTAGATTCACCCTGCGGCCTCTGTGTGTGGCTCCCCGGACAGCTAACGCCGTGGACCCGCCAGCTCCTGCCAGGATTGGGCTGGTAAATGCTAGATCGCTAGCGAACAAAACGTTTATCCTGAAGGATTTCCTGACTTCCCGAGGATTGGATTTTCTCTGTGTGACTGAGACGTGGCTGACAGTTGGTGAGTCCAGTGCTTTCACAGAACTTTTACCCGATGATTGCTGCTATTTTAACTCCCTGCGGACGTCGGGTCGAGGAGGAGGAATAGCGACTATTTATAAGAGTCACTAAATGTAAGCAGCTAGGTAAGATGACGTGTGCCGTCTGAGTGCCGTAAATCGTTTCGTCCTGGAAGCGACCTGCGGCGGACCCGGACACAGTTTTCTAAAGGTATGGATATACACTATATAGAAATAGCTTGTCTTCACACCGATGGTCTCATTTGCTGTTGTAGGTCACGCACAGACATCAGCAGAAACAAGAGACTTTTGCATATCCAGTTAAAAGTTTCTTGTAGTGGCTTTAATTACAATTAAGTAATTACACTAAATTATAATATACACCATGAATATATGATGATGCCTTTCTTATCCACCATAGAAATATGACCTTAATCAAACAATATGTATATATACTGTTTGTGATTATATGTACCACTTATTCTGTACTTTTTGTACAACTGTGATTTTGAAATTACACAAAAGTTGTTGAGAAAACAAAATTGTAGTTGTTACTCTGTATTTTTAAGAATATGTCCAAAACATTTTGCTCCCAATTTTTTTTTCATAGCAGTCTGTTAACTTTGTAAAATTTTGATTTCGGCTTGCTTACCAAAACTCCCCATCGTCAGCCACTGCAAGGCACATCTCACGATCCTCAGGACTCACAGTTTGCCATAAAGGTGACCTTTATGTACACATTTTTCAGTAAAGAAAGAGGAGAGGCAGTGTGTTACAAACTGTTCTAACATTAAGAGGCAAGTACCGTTTCCAATAGTAAGCCCAAGCTCAGGGCCAGGAGCAGGGCCAGGTTGTTTTTGACTCTCATCAGAATCCTGGCATTAATGTGGTAGCTTTAGAGGAGGAAAGGCATTTTTAGCTTGGACCTTAAAGACTAGACATTTTTAGGAGCGTAAAACCTGACTTATAAACCTGTGACATAGAGCTTGAAAAGGTGGGAAGGGTTTCACAAGAAGAAACAGTTAAAGAGGCAACAGATAGCATCTTTTCCTAAATATATCATTATGAAAATAATATGGGTTGCACAGGGTAGTGGCCACAGTAAAATCAGACTATCAGCATTTACATAGGTTACTTAGTGGCTTTGCAATCTTTGTAATAAGCTTCTGCCACCAGTGCCCAAATTTCGCGGAAAAAATCTGCTTTATGGCAGGAAACGTGTCATGTATTGCGAAATTGGTTGGTCAGCCAATCAGGGACTGGAGCTGGTCCTTATGAGGAGTTGGGCATGAGATAGTTGAGTCAGGAGCACAATGGCAGACAGACAAAGTTTGGAGACAAGTGAAAAACAGCCTAGCAAAAGAAAACAAGCTCCTCTGTCTGAGGAGGCAAAGAAGAGCAAAAAGGAGAGTGATAAAAGAAGAGGAAAAACAAGAGTAAACCTCAGTCAGGTGTTCAAGAGATGGAGGGAGCTACGTGACCAAAGAGGCTTCAAAACCAATGTCCAGCTAGCTTTCTTTCTAATGGATCAGTAAGTAACACGGCTAAATGTTAGCTGAGAGAGGACTGTACTGTACTGGCTGCTAGTTAATTCCTTGCTGGCCAGCATCGCAAATCGCCGCAACCAGGGACCGGGTAGCAAGTGTTGGTCGGCTGACATCCTTGTTGCCATTCTACGGCAGCCCTCGGACAGTGGTACCCCCCTCGCTTCCTTCTGCTCTCTTCTCACGGAGGCAGCTATCGACAGACATCGTCCAGCTAAGTTACGCCCAGCTAAATGAACACTGGACTTTTTCCCCATTCAATTTGAGCTCCAACCAGCCGCATCGTTTCCATACGGTACCGTTTATTCTAGAATCACATAACATGTGCATATTGGTATAATTCCACTATGTCTACTGTTGTTTGAACTGATACTGTACATATTGATATAATTTACTGTGAGTTGTTTGTACTGGTACTGTGCATTCTGGTATAATTATCTGCATTACTATTTGTTTTTTCTTCAGATAAATCTGATAATTGTTGCTTGGTTTCTTTACTCATTTATTTAGTATAGTGTCCACACACCCTCTCATTCTACAGAGGTATACTGGTGGCTGTCTTTACAGCCTACATTTTATTTAATTTAGAGAGTCTAATAGACAGTGCTATGCAACACCACTGACGCTAGGTGGCGCCAAGCTAAAAAAAAAAAGAATCCTATCTGTTGCTTCTTTAAGTTACTTTAAGGAAAATGTAGAATCCAGTGTTATGAGAGCATACTAGGCACTAATAGTCAGGATTTCCCAGCTTAAAGACTTTTTTTACATGCATCTTTAGGGAAACCCCTATGGAAGTGCAATATTAAATCAATGGAGCACTGTTTTGAGTGCCTTTAGTAAGACAATTAACTCCTGCCCATTAGAGCTACTGGGTGATCAAGAAATCATATTGTTGTTGTACTGGGCAGATTAGTCCATGTAACTGCTCACTAACTTAAAGGAGCAATAAGCAAAATTGTTTCACCGCTAGGTTTGCCGTTGTGCACTGCCTGTAGACCAAAACAAAGTGTGTCATGAGCCACTCCTCCCTCTACCTCTGCTCTCCACCCCCCACCCCCGACTCGCCTCGTCTAGCAGTTAGCAATGTCTCGGTCTCTGCTGTGTTTAGCTATTCCCCTGCCTACTTCAATGATGGTACCTGTAACAAATGTAATATATTTGCTGAGATGGAGGCGAGGCTCAGTGACTAGAGGAGCTGGTAGAAGTGCTCCATAGCTGTTAAGTTACTCCAGTAGTGGAAGCCGACTCAGCTAGTGCTAACACCGGGAGCTAACGCTAACGTTCCTCCTCTTCTCCGTGAGTGAGAGCGATGTTTTAGCCTAACGGGCAGCTGGCTCGCGGGCTGCCTACTAGGCTAAAACATTGCTTCAGGTTAAAGTGGGAAGAAGCAGCGGGTTTATCGGGCAGCTGAGTAAAGCTAGATGAAGTGGAGGCTGCGGAGGAAACACCGGGATGGGTTAATGTCTGGAGCTTGAGCAGCCTGC